AGATTTAAATTTTATTAATAATTCAAAATGTTTAGAGGTTATGGCAATACAGGCTACCACCATCACCACAGCAACCCATACTATCACCATAACAACAGTTGGTTTGGTGGAGGAAATAGCTGGTTTGGTGGAAACGATGGCAACCATGACAACAGTGGTTGGTTTGGCAATAGCCATGGTAACACTGGTTGGTTTGGCAGTAACCGTGGTAATGGTGGTTGGTTTGGTAGTGGAAGTGGTTCTTCATCTAGTTGGTCAAGTACCTACAGAAGGTCTGGCAGTTCAAGTTCTGGATCAAGTTCTGGATCAAGAACAGCTTCAGGTATAAAGAATTACTGATATCGATTGTAACCCATTGTTTTCCTTCTGAATTAGACCAACGAATGCAGACAGAAACAGGTTGGCCAGCTGCAATATTTAAAATATTGCTGTCTGCTTCAAAACAGAAAGCAATTATTATTGAAAATATTGCAGAATGGCTTGCCTGACTTAAAGGATGAAAGAGTTTTTTAAGAAAACTATTTATTCAGTCCTTACAAAGACCCAGCACCCATTTAGAAATTATCCGATTTAGTATCGAATCTTATGATAAACTTTAGCTCGCATGTGTGTAGGACATTTATGTTCCATTTACTGAAAAGGCAACGCATGCTCACATGGTTTTGAATTTATAATTTGGCACGATTTTGTGTGTTTTCGTTGTTTTTGTTGATTTTTAGCCACTACTCAGGCTATTTAGTGACAATTTATTAAGCTGTTGTGTTCAGATAAATAAATTCACGACTTAAAAAAACTCTAGTTCGAAGTTCGTTTAAACTTTCATTATTGGCATTGCTCCAAAATGAATACAATCGTAATATTGAGTACCAGAAGTGACTTCTACAGCGTAACACATTAAAGTTTGGCAATTGATAACATTTATTTTCATACTCCTGTCTTGCTATTGATACAAATATTAGAATATTGATTCCAGACAAGATATATGTGGCCTACCATTTGAGGATGCCAGCTTGAATTCCTCTTGTCTGGCGCCTGAAAGAGTCACTTTTAATTGTCCTATTTAATACAATTACTATTAATTTGTAATTGATAAATTTCATCATAATTATGATCATGATTCTCTGTCATGGTTATGTTTTCACTGCCAGCTTACAATTCTGTAAGCATCTTTCATTTCCCTTCATATTTTGCAGGTTTTGGTGGCACCAAAAGAAGATAGGCACACAATATATTCATTTAGAAGCACAATATTCCTGCCTTCTTGTCCCAAAGTAAAGAGAAGACATTTTCAAACCACAATA